GTCGCGCGCGGCGGCCGCGGCGGCCGCGGCCGTGCCGGCCGCGCGCCGCTCGTAGTGGGCCCAGCCCGGCGCGCCGCCGAGGCCGCCCGCGGCGAACGCGCCGAGCTCGCTGAGCGCGCACGCGCCCGCGGCCGCGCCGTGGTCGAACGACGCGCACCACGGGGCCGCCTCGCACGCGGCCGCGCAGGCCTCGAGGCCGACGCCCCGCGCCGTCGACCGGTACGTCGCCGCGACGCCGCCGGCCCCGGGGACGCCCGCGCGCGCGAGCGCGCCGCGCGCCGCGCCGTCGCCCGCGACGGCGAGCGCGTAGCGCGCGCCCGCGACGGGCGCGAGCGCCGCGCCCGCCGACCGCGCGTCGTCGACGGCGCCGCCCCGGGGCGTCGCCAGGGCCGGGTCGACGTCCCCGCGCAGCGCGGCGCCGGCCGCGCCGTCGAAGCCGAAGGCGCTCGGCGCGGGCGCGACGCTCGCGTTCGCGCCGGCGACGGCGAGGCCGCCGGCGACGGACACGTTCGCGCCGCGGCGGCACCAGAGGGCGCCGGCGACGGCGAGCGACGCGCCGCGCGCCACCTCGAGCGCGGCGCCGAGCGCGCACTCGCCCGGGGGCGCGGAGCCGGCGGTCCCGACCGCGCCGGCGAGCAGCGCGACGCCGCCGGCGCCGGCGACGGTTCCGCCGGACCACGCGAGCGAGGCCTCGACCCCGAGGGACGCGCCGCGCGCCAGCTCCAGGGACCCCGACGACAGCGCCAACGACGCGACGACGCAGGACGCGTTCACGACCAGCGTCGCGTTGCCGCCGCCGGCGACGACGACGTCGTCGCCGCGCGCCGGGGCGCCTGGGGGCGACCACAGCGACCCGTCGGCCCATTCGCCGGTGGCGCCCGTCCACGTCCGCGTGACGCCGCCGGCGCCGCGCAGGCCAGCGCAGCACAGAATCACTGTGCACAGAACCAACGCACGGCTGCCCATTGCACTACAGGGATCGTCGGTCTTGCGGAGCGTGCTATAGCAGGATTTAACGTTCTTCGCCTAGCTCGAAGTCGCTGCGCATAGGTTAAGGTTACACCATGCTCATACAAAAATCACCGGATACATCAAGTTAATAATTAAATCAGTGCCAGCTTCCCGAATCGCGGTGTTGTTATTATTATTATTATGGGTGCTTTAACGTGGGACTAGGACGGCGGCCCGTGGGCGGCCGTCGGCGCACGCGGATC